GAGGTAGACAATTGGTTCTTTTTTCCAAGGAGGTCATTGTACTGACTTGAATATAAAATGATGACTTAATCCTCCCTGCTTTTAATAATCATGGTATATGAATGGAGGAGGCCTGGAATAGTAGAAAGAACAGTAAGTTAGGAACCATGCCTCTAGACAAAATTCTTTCACTACAAAATATTGCACTTCCTATCTTTGGAATCTATAGTTTATTAATTGTACAAAGAAGAGTGTGTTATTCATTTTTTATTTATAAATGAAATGAACACTTTTTTAAAAAAAATCAAGTATAAAAATTGTGGGTTTTTTTTCTGAGAAACATGCAGAGAATTTTTATTTATCAAAAATATTAATAGTTATATTGTATAACAGAGTCACAAAGAGATGTGCAGGCAAGGTCCTAGTTTAGTTCTAGGGTTTAGTATAGCATTTAGGACAAAGTTTGTTCCTCAGTCAGGAGCCTTGTTCAGGAATCTAAGATTCAAGAATGGACTGTTAAAGTTTGGATATGAGGTGTCCCCCCAATAAGCTCATGTGGTAGACAATATAGAAATGTTCAGAGGTGAAATGATCAGTGGATTAATTCATTTGATAGATTAATAATTTGAATGGACTAATATATGGTAACTGTGGCCAGATGTGGTGTGGCTGATAGTAGTAGGTCACTGTGGGATGGGATGGGGAGTTCCCTTGGGATTATATTTTGTTTCTGACTCCTCACTCACTTTCTCTGATTCCTAGATGCCATGAACTCTCTACCTTGCCCTTTCACCATGCTGTTTTGCTGCATCTCTGGTTGAGAGCCACGGAGTCGGTGGACCATGAACTGAACCTCTGAAACCATGAACCAAAATACTCTTTTCCTCCTCTAACTTGTTCTGGTCAGATATTTTGGTCAAAGTAATGAAAAGCTTACTTACACATGATCAAAACAAACCAAACTCACCACAAATCCCCCTCTGTATCTCTCTCTCTCTCTGCGTGTATATGTTTGTTTTTGTATATATACTTTATCTCTAGTGGCTATTTCTTTGTCTATATTAACTTCATTCTTAGTGAAGAGCCTTTCTTATAGCAGCCTTCAAAATATGTAAGTCTTAAAAACAAGACTTAAAAACAAGAGCCCCAGCCTAAAATTTTCCACCCATCCCTAGAATTTAGTTTCTGTAGTTAAAGACAAGGAGAGCTACTGAGTTAGCACTTTATCACATAACGTGGCTTTAAGGAGACATGTGGCTGAGGGCTTGTAGGTCTCTTGGGAAAGTAGAAGTCTTACTATATGAAAAATGTTAGTGAGTGCTGTGCACACAAAGTATACTCACAAGAGGGTTGGTAGATTTTTATTCTTCCATTCACATCATTTTTTCTTTAAAATATTTGCGATACAATATTGGTCAAGGTTGACATGGTGCTTGTCTCCATGCAATAAATAGACAAGAAATACATTAAAATGAAAAAAAAAACCCATAAGGCTATGTGATTATATGAAAGCCTCTTTTCAGACCTCTTATTCTATGAAATTTCACATGGCATTCTTTCCTATATCTAGTAGCATAATTTCCCACTTAGATACAGCATTTTCTCTGATTTCCCACAGATTGCTGATCTCAAGCAAATCTGTACTCTGTGTCTTGTGGGGAGGTCATTTACCCTGAAGCTACCTTCTGTCATATATGACCAATACTCAGACAAAATGATTTCAGTTCCCAAAACATCAGTCTGGCACCATTTGGAAAAAAATGGGAGCCAAACAATTACTATGTTGGTAATTAAACAACTAAATTACTTCTTTCTTAGAAATTTACATTGTCTGCATTAGTTATTTTCTAAAATTATTAGTGGGGTTTGTTGACTTAACAAGGGAAAGGGGGTACTACACGTCCTGCCTCTTTTGTTTTTCTAAGACTTGGATTCTTTTTAACATTAACATTGGAGTTTTCCTTAGTATCTTTAGTACAATTGTAATTATTTTTATAATTTTTAAATGTTCAAATTTTTGTGAATTTTGGTAATGAAAATGTATATTGGATATATAATTTCATTCCTAGCCTTTCCTTATTAGCATGACTGGATTATTATCTTTTAATTTTAATCAAGATTAATATTATTTGAGATTAAAATTACACAGATTAATTTCTAAGATTAGACTGGGAAAGATTTTGTAAAAATACATTATACTCCTGGTCAGAGTAAAATTATAGGGACAAAAATCACTCTGATTAGTTACACAGTAGAATTTTGGTGACAATATTTCCTATTTCCAACTTTTGATAAGACGGTGGGAGCTTAGTGAGGGATGGAACAAAATGTCAATTTGGCTAATACAGAACAATTTTGTAGTTAGTACTTGGCATAGAAGATCTGGCAGATGTATTTGGAACTAAGATTTAATGGAAATAATAAAAAATGTCCAAACTTTATGGAAATTCTTCAAAAAAGGAATGTTTAAGCCAAAATTGGCGTGCATTCTCCCTATGCTAAGAAGATTCATAGCTGGATACATATAGTCTTTGAGAATTTACAATAAACATTCTCTGGTCAGACAGATTTCAGAAGGCATTGCTCTTGTGGTTGGATACAACCACTACGAGAATATTAGTCTTACTGCTGAGTGATGAGTGAATAATATTTTGGCTGGCAGATTTTAGATCTTGGTTCCAAGATTTCATTTTTAGCTGAGAGATCTTGGACTATTTACTTACTTTCACAAGCCTCAATCTTTCTAGTCTGTAAAAAGAGATTGCTGTACTTATTTCATAGACTAACCACATTAAAGAGATAACAATGTAAATTGCCTAGCATGTAGCCTGCCAAAAACCAGAATAGGCACTTGGAGAATAGTAGTTCTAATTTTATTATTTTGTTATTTTTTTAATAGCAATACTAGCAGTACTACTGGTATTATTGCTTAATCTTAGTTTCATATTATAGACCAAATGATTGCTCATATGCACATATATTTTTTGCCTTGCTATGACATGGTCATCAACTTTGTGATTGGACACAAAGTCCTTTGGGCACAATTTGCTCTTCTTTGTACAGACGTCTTAATAATTCTTAATCAAGAAAGAAGGAATGAACTGAGATTATCACTATAAGTGACTAAGAAGAAAAACCCAACAGGCAATCAGGCTAAAGGATATTTTCTAATTTCTACAAATTAGACTTCTTTTTGGCTTTATCCACCATTATCATACAGTGGCCCTTTCTTCTGTTTGTCTTCTTTGTGTATATTCAACGGACCAACACCATGGCCTCACTGAGAATGCCAGGCCTGCTTTCCTCTTTGTCACTGATATTTCACATTATTATAAGCCATTGTGCATTAAAATTATGACCAAGGGAGTGATCAAGGTAGTGAGGGATTTTAAAACAATATTTTATGAATACTACCTTAAAGAATTTGATTACTTCACACTGAGTGTGGAGGATTTTAGCCACAGAGAAGTGGGATTGTTGAGTTTCACTGACAACTGCCAGAGCTACTGTGGTAGGAAAGTCCTGTGTCAATAACTGGATTGAATGACATGGTACACTTTATATTCTATGACTTAGAAACAAGATGAAATACAAACTCCTAGAGGATCAAACTGAGACTTGTGTTTCACTCTGCTAAAACAGAAAAAAGTATCCATGTCTATCAATATCCAGTCTCCTTAGTTCTCCATCTACTTTTTTTTCCCTGAGTAGACACAGATGAGCTATATTTGAGGATTTTTAATTCTTCTGCAATGATCAACACACTGATATTCTCCTTGCCAATGATGATGCTATTGTACATTTATGCTTGTCCAAGCTCCGTTCACTTATTGCAGGGTAAGTCGGAAATAGTCCAAGGAATTAAAACTGTGAGAACCACTTGGTTAAACTGTCAATAGGCTTTCTGGGAACTCTGTGGCTGGCTTAATTGGGGAGAGCAGTGAGTAGCTTTTTTGCCGATCCTGCCCTTTGGGTGTCTGGGAATGGGTGACCTTGTGAATCATTTCTCGATTAGTTATTATAAGACTTTCAGGATGGCACAAATGGGAACGGGAATCTTGAGGGAAAAATCTGAAAGTCATCTTCTTAATTCTAAATAACTTTGGGACTTAAATATCTCTCTTTATTACATTCTAAGTCTTAAAATAAACATTAGTTCAAATATTTGGAGGATGCTGGTGTGATCTGTTGTCAAAAATTTTATTCCTGGTGTTGAAGGGGGAGTTGGCAATGGGGCGGGGGTGGGGGGAGACTCTTCAGGGCTGGTTAATGGAGGGCTTAATGAATCTGACCTTCTTTATAGTGTGCTACCGCTTTGCACCATAGACATTGCCATTGGCATTTCACTGCTTTCATTGCTATTCTACCCATGTTTGTATTTCTTCCATTTCTGATCAAAGGATCATTGAGACAAGAATTGACTTAGGAGAGGTCATTGGGGACATTATTAAATCACAGTCCATAAAGATTCTTCAAATTCTCGTTGTTACCAACCATACTCTTGAAAGGGAATTGAGAGGGACCAGTATATAAACAGGTGACATTCATAAAGCCCTCCATCCAAAAGGAATTCCCCTTATTGTGAGGTGCTCAACAAATGGTACTCGTTTAATTAATTAATTAATTTGTGGCACTGGGAATAGAACCCAGGAACATTCCATCACGGAGCTACATTCCCACCTCTTTTTATTTTTTTTTTATTTTGAGGCAGAATCTGACTAAATTGCCCAGGCTGGCTTTGACCTTGCCATCTTCCTGCTTTAGCTCCTGAGATGCTGAGATCAGAGGTGCGCACTGCCACACCCAAATGGTTTGACATATTTGGTAAGTGCTAATTAGATGTATTTTGGGATTCTCTGCATAAAGAGTGTTTTCACTCCTCTGTTTTTATTTATAGTTATTTATTGAATACCTACCTAGTTTCAGGCATTATTATTTATAGTTATTTATGTATATAGCTTTTGAATAACTATATACATAATTTTCCTCAGGATTCTCCAATTTTTGTTTTTTTCCTAATATAATATTAAAAATATTCACCAAGAATGATACTATGACAACTCTTCTACTAATAAAATCCAATATCTTATTGTTTTAGTCAGCTTTTTTGCTGCTGTGATTGAAAGACCTGACCAGAACAACTTTAGAGAAGGAAAAGTTTATTTGGGAGCTCACAGTTCCAGAGGTCTCAGTCCATAGAAGGTTGGCTATTTATTAATATTTATTCCTCTGGGGCTTCAGGGAGGGGGCTCACAGGATGATCAGGAAGCAGAGAGAAACCTCCACTTGCCAAATACAAGTATATACCCCAATGCCCCACCTCCTCCAGCCACAACCTACCTGCCTTCAATTACCACTCAATTGATCCCATCAGGTGATAAATTCACTGATTGGGGTAAGGCTCTCATCAAAACCCAATCATTTCTACTCTAAACCTTCTTAAATTGTCTCACACATGAGATTTTTGGGAAACACCTCATATACAAATCATAACCTTCATTCTCTCTGGAGAAACAAAATATTTACTGGTCTCTAAAGCAGCAGACTGGGAGTTATTACTGGAGAACATCAAGTAGCTAACATTAAACTGCTTAATCCTCACCAGTCAGAAAATTGACAATATTTTCTGTATTCCTGAGAGCTGGTAAGAAGAGCAACTAACCACAAAATAAAGCACTTGGTATAGTTATTAAAATGTGAAATTCCTCGAATCAAGCTCATCAAGATTATCCAAACAGGCAGTTATAGATAAAGAGTGAAGGCTTGGTTTTCAGATGGCATGTGACCCTAGATTTCTCCTTGTTGTGTTCACTTCTGTAGCTATAAAAAAGGGACAGTTTTATCAACTTCCAGAGCCTTGTAGGGGTTAAATTGTTTAATAGTATAAAACATTTAGAAAAATGCCTGACACTAGGTAGGTATTCAATAAATATTACATAGTGAAATATGTGAGAAAGTTTAAATTTTCAAGACCCCCAAGACTTTCAGTTATATAACTAAACTGAATCTTCTTTAGAACAGCTGCAGAGATGTGGCACCCAAACAGTAAGAACTGCAGGACAGCCCCAGTAATTCAGATCTCTCTGAAGTCTCCCAGAAACATCATACATTGTGTTCAAACTTAACATTTCTATTAGAGATATCGTGACTACAGTAATTAGATCCCTAGTGCCTGTTCTTGCAGGAGAGAAAAAGAATAGATTCATTCCATCCTGAAAAGAGAACTCAGCATGGAAAGTGTGAAGGAAAAGCAGAGAGACAGACCAACCCCAGGACACAGAAGGCAGCGCACTGTGACTTTGACGAAAGTGAGCATAAGCAGGGACCAAAGGCAGCACCGAGAGGTTATTCTGGGCTTCAGGAAAAATTGGAGTCTCGCCAATGTGGAGACATGTCAATTAGAACTGAAATGAATGTGCTTGAGGACAAAACTTGAAGGGATCTTTCAAGCTCCTAAGGAAATTACACCTTTTAACCCTGAAGCTGAGATTTATCCTGCTTTTCTCCTTCAGCCTGGCAAGAGGAAGCTAGATTTAGAGGGACATCTTACTTGTATATCCTTTGCCACGTTGATGAAATTGAACCTTGATAAGGGAAAGGAGGCAAAAAGTTCAATACTAATACTAAGCAATTGTAGAGATCAGCAGAGAAGGAAATAGAAAAAGGGAGAAGCGGTATTTTAGAAGGAAGGAGAGAGAAGTGGAGGAAAGAAATAGAAAGGAAGGAGGGACTAAAAACAAAGTAAATGAAATAGATTTTAAAAATGATTTTCTTCTAGGAGTTCGGAACATGGAACTGATTATGCAGGACAGAATGACAGAATGTGAAAAAAAGAATTTAAGTTTTAATGTTCTACCTGTGCAATTGTACCCAAGTGATCTGTTAAATTTAAATAGTTAAAGAAAATGTGCTGTCAGGGATTCACTAGAGGTTATGTATCTGAGTCAGTGATGATTCACAACTTTTAATGACATCAAGAGTGATCATTAAAAGTCCCATGATATTCTGGGTAATATAAAGTGTAGA